GAGATTGACACCATATCTGCGTTAAGTACATAAATTTCTACTCTTCCTAAACAACTTGGTACTTCAAATGTTAATCCTATTCAATCTACTAATTTAAGTTGTGAATTTTGTGCAGGACATCATCATAGCAATTGTGGGAACACATATTTCTGCAACCAATAGATGGGTGACACATAGAAAAGGAATATTATTTAGGTCAATTGATCACCCTAATTAAATCCTATTTAATTAGAGCAATTATCTTTGATTTAATATGAGAATATCTCCCCAAATCAAGGATGAGATTTCCATCAAATCTCCTTGATTATTTCTAAGCTCTTATTTATGGGTAGGAATAATCCTAACCAAATAAGGATTATTCTTCAAACCCTAGCAGATAAGGAGTCTATAAATACATGGCTACACAAGACATTCAAGGTAACGCTTTCTCACCCAAAAAACCCTTTTCTTGCTGCCACTCTCTCTCCTCTCTCTCCCACACGACTAAGTGCCACTCGGCTCTCCCCTTGAGAGAAAACTCCATCCACTTTAGCTATTATCGTATCTTCATCAAGATCTAATCGAACATATTTGGTGCTTTCATTGAGAGATTCGAGATATACTTAATGCAATGCTCTTGAATCTTTATCAAGGAAATCCATTTCCTTTCCATCTTCGGTTTCATCTGAAACCCTCAAATTATCATGGCGAGCTGCATCACCAGCGAAATTCTCTCTAACCACCCATGGCTTATCTCAGCCTATTTTGGCTCAGTGGAATTAATTCTAACTTCATCTCCCATCATCCAAGGCCTAATCTTTGAGTATGATTTGTTGAGGGGTGAATGCCTAAGATGGCATTCACTGGTTTTTTGCTACTTGGACTAGCAGTCAAGAACATGAAGATAAAATTGCAACAACAACAACAACAACAACAAAAACCACGAAGAAGCAGCTTGCTCTGTCACCGGCTCCGATCACCAAGTCATCACGTGCAGCATGGGCTATCCTACATTGACTAGAGGTCTCCGACCTCCAAACCCTAAACTAGTCGTTCCTTCTCACAACAACAATGGTGTCCACGCGGGGAAGGCTCTTTCTCTCTCTATTATGTGATGACCTATAAGATTTTTCGGGGAATACTTGTTCTCGTCCCTATCATGAGGTTTTCACCTTAAATTTTCATTTAACTCAGTTACATTCAATTGAATTATAAAATTGAACTCATTGACTCAAAATCATCTTAAATCAATCTGATAAAACTAAATAAATATTATATCATATTACAATCATGGGTTTTTACCTTAAATGATCCTCAAACTTATACCCGAGTTGCGTTTGGTTCAAATGGTCCCCAACTAAATTATTCGTTCAAATGGTCTACATACTGTTTATTATTCGGCGAATTGGTCCTATCATTACATTTTCTGTTGTGGGGGTAAATAAGACTTTTGACAACTAACAAAAAAAAATACAGTTAAAAATTAATACAAAATTTTCTTTATTTTTAAAATGAATTAAAAACCATAAAACAATAAAACAATAACAAAAAGTAACCCAAAACCCAGAGCCTCTCTCTCTCTCTCTTTGGAGATAGAGGGAGATAGGAGACATGGAGGGAGAGAAAGAGAAGGTGGGTTATGGGGAGATAAGATGGGGCAATGGTTATCGGGCTGGGGGCTAGGAGGTGGGAGAGGGAGAGAGGTTTTGTTTTAGTTTTTAATTTATTTAGTATTTTGTTTAATTGGATTGTTTTACCCTATATTTGATGGCAACATTGACAAAATGTAACTATAGGACCAATGTGCTGATTAATAAATTATTGGTGGACCATTTGAACGAATAATTTAGTTGAGGGACCAAAATGCAACTCGAGTATAAGTTTGAGGACATTAAAACCCTATAATCATACATGGTTATATTATATTATAAACTACTTAAAAATAAATATATTACTTATTAGGCCGGGTTCGGGGATAGGAATAACAATACCATCTTGGGCACTTCCCCGATTGAAGCTTTTTAAAATTCGAGGATCCCCATGCGCCCTCAATTTTCCCCCAAAATCTACCCTAATAGGACCCGATGAGGACCCAAATGAGAGGACTGTTGGATCCAACACCCTCCATTGGAGATGGTTTTTATTTGTGCTTTTCTTAATAAAAACTGAAGTAATATTGCAGATCAACGGTGCATATTATTTATTTAGTTGATTTAAAAATTAAAAAAAAAAATAAAAAAAAAAAAAAAAAAAAAAAAAAAAAAAAAAACAACCAACACCCAATTTAAATTCAATAAAATAAATAAAAAAAAATAAAATAATAAATTAAAATCATAATCTTAAAACAAACAATCAAAAAACTCATCCCAAAAACTTTACAAAAATCCATTCCATTTGTTAAATAATCATGCAAATAGAATTTCAATTTTTAGGTTAAAATGTTTGAATAATTAAATCACAAAGGTACAAACAAAAAACAAACTCAAGAAAAATTCACCACAAAAAATAGGAGTTAAACATTCTTAAACAATTGGGTTTTTCGCAGCAATGGTCCCTCAACTATACCCGTAGTTGCATTTGGGTCACTGAACTCAATTATTAGTTGCAGAGGTCACTCAACTGTGTGTTTCGTTGCACCAATAGTCCTTCCGTCAAGTCTAGCTAACGTGGTGTCAATTTCATAGGCAAATTTATCTTTTGAAGTCTGGCATGTCCAACCTCCCATCTACAGCAACTTCCCTCTGAAAAATGTCAAATCTGACGCCAAATAAATTACCAATTCCCATTTATATTCGAAGAAAGCCACATAAAAACAGTAGATGTGTTGAAATTTTGAAAATTCGAAGGAAATCTGGGAAGCCCACACAATGCATGCGCAAAAATGTCGCAGATTTCTTCTTCATCAACAAATTCGAGCCCTAGTGCATGGAAGCTATGCAGGTGCGGTGAATATATCAAAACCTGGACTTCATGGACTAATTTAAATCCTGGGAGAAGATTTGAGGCTTGTGAGACGAGTCAAGTAAGTTAATCTGTGAAATTTTATTTTGTTGCTTGATGGGTTTAGCTTTGATGTTATGAAACGTACTTTGCAGAGAAACAGAGGAAATGGGCATCATTGGGAGTGGCTAGACGCACTGACATATGAAAGAGGAAAAGAACTAATTTCTGGGTTGCTGAGAAGAATGAGAGCAATGGAAGAGGACCTAAAGTTAATATAAGAACAGAAGAAAGAAGTGGAAGATAAGCTGAAAATGGTGGAGAGAGAAAAGAAGGAATTGGATACGAAGTTGGAGAACTAGGCAAGCAGAAAAGACTGTTGGAAGAGAAAAGAACAGGCCAACAACCAAGAGAGAATCAGATTTGGGGGGTTTCATTTCTGTCATTGGGTATGCTTACAAACAATTTCAATGACAATGAGGACAAAGTAAACAAGGAAGACAAAGTGCAGGCATGTGCAAGTGTGAAATCACTTCCATGACAAACCGACAGAAATGAGACCACAAACAATAATAAGACTCCAACTATATTTTTTTCCACCTTAAAGCCAAAACTTCATTGTCAACAATAGGACCACACATTTTCAATAATATATTGCAATATAAAATGCAAAATGAATATTTAGGTTATAGTAACTTACCATACTTTGAGGGTTCTCCAGACCACCGAAAAATTGTCTCCATTTGAAGAAGCCTCCATACACTGTAGACCCGACACTTTTCTCTGTGATTCCCACGAAACTGAAATCCTATATCTGTACTTTATCGCTTTTTTAACTCAAAATACTTCGCTACTTAGTCCATTAACGCATAATGTTGAGATAATGTTCCAAAATCCCCCAAAAATCGAAGTCCAATGCCTCTCGATTTGAAAACCCTAGATGCGATTTTCTCCTTTTGCTCATACTGCCATTTCTGTGCAACTGTCGTTCTCTTCAAAACCAAAAGATTCGTTTTAATTACCTAAAAAGTCATATTTGCCCCTCACGAATCTATGAGATTCTCACAGATGCTTGCCACGTCATCATTTTAAACGGAAAAAACTAACGGACTTGACGGAAGGACTACTGGTGCAACGAAACACACAGTTGAGTGACCACTGCAACTAATAATTGAGTTCAGTGACCCAAATGTAACTACGGGTATAGTTGAGAGATCATTGCTGCGAAAAACCCTAAACAATTTAATAAAGTTGCTGGCCTAAATTTTGAGTTTGCAGGATTTGAGGAAAAAACTATCTTACATTTTAATAAATGGTCCATATTATCAGGGTGCTATCTAGAACCTATAATGAGTTGTACTGCTGATTTTGCTAATGGTTTCTCACACACACTACCAAGGTATGCCATCGGAGTTTGAACCTAAGTCTACTAGTCTACACAATACCATTTCCTATTGAGCTAGACCTTATTGGCAGCCCAATTATATTTTGGTCTCCACAAAAGCCACGAAATTAGCCACTATTAATTCAGGCTCAAACAAAAAAATAGCAGCAAAACATAAAATTATGTTTTGAATATATCTAGTCTACTATTATACATAAGAAATTATGCAGAAGAATTGGTTGGACATGTAATATCAGGGCAATAGTTTCATTGCATGTTTCATTTTCAACAGTAATTTTCAAATGTTATTGAGTTTTAAAATTTATAAATCGTGAAGAAAAAAAGGGTAACATTGGAAACCACTCCATTCCAGAATAATCAGGATAGGGGGTACAATTCTATTTTCTATTTTAGCATTCCAGCCAAGCAAACGTGCAATAAAGTGTAATAACCAGAGGTCATTCATTTACGCATTGTTTTATTTGAAACCAATGTTATTGAATGTTGCAATACTTCGATGATAACAGAACTTGGATGCCATAACACAGAATTTTGAAGAATTTTGAAGTGATTGATAGAGCCAAAATTAAACCAAAAGGAAATCCAACTTAGTCATCATTTTTCTCAACAGAAAACTATTACACAATGCAGGCTAAATTATTTTTAGTTTATCTAACGGATCTGTCCATAATGAGAATTATGGCGCAAAATGAGCTTCAAAACCCTTTGCATCTTTTCCAGTTGATGACTTCTTCAGAGGGCAGCTGCTGTACCTTTCTCTCAAAACTGCATCGGGTACGTATGACCAAGTGCGCCCACGGGGAGAGCTATCAGGCCACATAAACCTCTCAGATATTGGATTCACCAGACTCTCACGGAATTCTTCAGCTGTCTCACAAAGCAAACCCTGAAACAAAGCCACAATCATTTTTAAAGCCTGTATTAATGTGACAAGGGTGGAAGGAGTGACTGGTTATAGTAATTGTAGTGGTACCTCTGCCATGGCTTTGATCTTCAAGGTGACATCATTACTTAGAAGGACAAGTTGTCCATCATTCTTCATCTTTCTATGCAAAAGAGCACAATCAGGATATGGTCTTCTGCTGTTGGTGATACAAGGTCCATCAAACTCCATCTTGAAAAAGGCAATGAGCTTGTTGCCCCAGAAGGAAAGACCCAGCTCTTATCACTAGATAGAGACTGCGGAGAAACGGGAGGGGTTGGAGCTATCAGTCTTCCATCTTCCATTGAGCTCTGGACATGGATCCACCAATTTGTTTTTACCATGCAATCTTCAATCCATTTGAGCACCAGACAAGCCTCTGTTTTCCTTCTGAAAAGACTGCCACGTTGCTTCAAGCAATCCAGTTCCCGTAAGACTGTTTACAATAGAAACATTCACAATTATTAGGATCAACTGTAATGAATGAACAATATGATCAGGCAACTGAAAGGATGTACGGAATTCAAATTTTGTTACCCATTCTTGGAATTATTAACCGAGTCCCCTTAAGACCTTGTAGAAGCTGCAATGACTTCCTTGATTCCTTGTCAAGAAGAGTAGTAGTGTCTGCAACCATAGTCCAGCCCCTCCTCTTTCCTTCTCCAAAAGATTTATTCTGAAAAAAACCTTTGAGTTAGATGTTTGTACTTGATAAAGCTAGTTAGACCCATTGAAATTAATTCATGAACAAATGTAACAAGGGTTGCCAACTTACAAGGAGTGGATTGGCGACCTTTCCCGTGGTTCTAGTGCAACTGGCAGATGCGCTGCTTCTTGTGGCTGTGTTTGGGACCGAGGTTTCTGATATGTTCTTGCCTCCAGAATTTTAAGTAGTGATTGAAATGGCATCCTTTCTCTTCTTTCTTTTGTTTCCGCCAACTTTTTTTCCACCCTAGCTTGCTTTCCAGAAGTAGTTCCTACTGATTTTCTTTTTCGGAGTTCCTTCAATTTCTGGTTTTCTTTTTCTGGGGATACAATCAGATCTTGTTGACAGATACTGGAAATTAAACTTAGTTTCGACGAGGATGATCTATGTGACTTGGAATGCTTAAATTCTATCTCACCATTCCTTTTCAAGGACCTCAGTCGAAGAGTATTTGGGGTCAAATTTTCCTTGTCTGGTGTAAAGATTTCCTCCTCTAGTTCGATGTCATCACCATATCTTGCCTCCTCTGTTTTCCCTCTACTCTTATCTGTTTGAAGCTGAACAACACTAGCACGTTTACCTCTTCTTGCCCAAATGCTTCCCTTCATGCCTGATTTATTCTCTGATCTCAGTGGAGGGCTTTCACAGAGGTCTGATTCAGGCTGTCCTACTGCAGTAAAGAGAGATTGTGGGGTCTGGCTCTCTCTGTCATCTATTAACTCTGACAGTATCCCATCTAGTGTAGATGAGTTTATAGATTCTTTCATACGAGGTTCAGAATGGAGGCCTGTAGAATCCCTCTTTTCATGGTCTTCTGGTGACACACTTTTGTTTTCAGTTTCTCCAGTTCTTTCATCCACTGGACATTCTATTTCATCAGAATGTTCAAAATTCAGGTTAACCAGCAAGTTTAGTTCTGGTTCCAAGGTCAAGCTTTCTTCTTCAACTTGTTGACCTTCGCTCTTGGCAAGGACTTCCCCAAATGGAAAGGATAAGTTCTCCATCACAAGAGGAGACGAAAGACACGATACATCAGTCTGTCCATCATCTTTTCTCAATGGACTTTGGCTGTCAATTTTCTCAGGTACTTGAGCAGCAGGATAAGCTTCCTCTTCCTTTTCTTCTAAATGTTCAAAATTCAGGTTATCCAGCAAGTTTGAAATTGGTTCCAGGATTTCTTCTTCAACTTGTTCATCTTTGTCCTCTCCAAGGACATCACCTATCGGCAAGGATAGGTTCTCCATGACAAGAGGTCCATAATTTTTTCTCAATGGACTTTGGCTGTCAATTTTCTCAGGTACTTGAGCAGCAGTATAAGCTTCCTCTTCCTTTTCTTCTAAACGTTCAAAATTCAGGTTATCCAGCAAGTTTGAAATTGGTTCCAGGATTTCCTCTTCAACTTGTTCATCTTTGTCCTCTCCAAGGACTTCACCTATCGGCAAGGATAGGTTCTCCATGACCAGAGGTCCATCATTTTTTCTCAATGGACTTTGGCTGTCAATTTTCTCAGGTACTTGAGCAGCAGGATAAGTTTCCTCTTCCTTTTCTTCTAAATGTTCAAAATTCAGGTTAACCAGCAAGCTCGAATTTGGTTCCAGGCGTTCTTCTTCAACTTGTTCCTCTTTGTCCTCTCCAAAGACTTTGCCGATCGGCAAAGATAGGTTCTCCATCACTAGAGATCCATCATCTTTTCTCAGTGGACTTTGGCTGTCAAGTTTCTCAGGTACTTGAGCAGCAGGATAAGCTTCCTCTTCCTTTTCTTCTAAATGTTCAAAATTCAGGTTAACCAGCAAGTTCGAAATTGGTTCCAGGCTTTCTTCTTCAACTTGTTCATCTTTGTTCTCTCCAAGGACTTTGCCGATCGGGAAGGGTAGGTTCTCCATCACTAGAGGTCCAGACGGACATGAAATATCAATCTGTCCATGGTCTTTTATCAATGGGCTTTGGTTCTCAGTTTCCTCAGGCACTTGAGCAGTAGGATAAGTTTCCCTTTCCGTTTCAATAAAAGAGGAACTGTCTGGGTTTTCATTTGGATTAGAACTAGATTCTTCCATATTCAAAAATAGGTTCACCGATTCAGTTCCAAATGCCCAGAAGCTTGAGAATTCATTCATTTCATCAATACCTTCTTCAATTTGATCAAAAATTGAGTAAATGGCATTTTCAGGCATTGGAGGTGCTGACGGGATCTCCTCCTTCCCACTTAGTCCAAAATTTTCATCAGGCAACAAAGATTCTATACACACAGAATTTGAATCCGGAGATTCAATTTCTTTATTTTCAACTGACAGAGAATTCTCACCCTGTACATAACCAAAGAGGCAAAGCAAAAGAAAATTCTTATAAAGTTCATTTTCAAATGGAGAAGATTTCTGACCCAATTCAATTCAATTTGAATAAAGAGATGCAGAACAGAGAGAACCAAAAAAATTAAGAAACATCTTTTGGGCGTTCCACAACTTCATGTCCAAAAGAACCAAAATGTATAATTTAATTTTACTCAATTCGCATAAGAGAAAACAAAGAACAGAATCAAGAACAATTCAACAAACATATTTTGCGCATTCAACAAATTCACGTCTAAAATAAATAAAATGCACAAGAGATTACCTGGACTACTCCTTCTGCAGTTTCATCTTCATCATTATTTGTCAACGGAACATAAGACGTTTCGAAATCATACGCTCGACTCAAAGGTATCCAGTGAAGGCTGTAGACCCTGCTGGAACCACCAACCCTCAGTATGTCCCCTTCCCTCAGCTCCACCCTGACCCCTGGCTCAAGCCTCTTCTCCGAAACCCAAGTGCCATGCACTGCAACCAAAAACCCCAATTAACCCAATAAGTCCAAGAAGAGCAAGAAGCACACAAATTTCGGGGTTCTTTAAATTAAAAAAAAATCACTGAAAGAAACATGAAATGAGAAATAAGAAGCTACCTGATGATAAATCGGTGAGAGAGAGCTGCTGGGAAGAAGGGTTAGAGAGGATTTGGAGGTGGAATCTGCTGATGCTGGGGTGAGTCAAGACGATGTTACAATCGGGGTGGCGACCGACGATCAAGATTTCTTCTTGGGTTTGTTGATGGACGGAGGAGATTGGTTTATTGGCAGGTGGGGGTGGGGGTTTGTTGACGATGAAGATGTTCTTGAGAATCGCTCCATTTTTAAGGACTGTGAAGACTGGGATTTTGGGCTCGTCGTCTTCTTCTTCATTGAGTTTCTTCTTCTCATTCTCGTTGGCCATGGTCACTGGCTGTCTTAGCACAGAAAGGGAAATGATGCTCAGTTTTTGTTCAAGAATTTGGATTCTGAGTAGGGACGATGATTTTATTTGAGAGAGAGAGAGAGAGAGAGAGGATTTGACCAAATTATTGTAATTGCTGGACCTGGAGAAAATGTTTTGAAGGTTGTGGTGGTGTTTTATTTTGAAAAGGCGACCGTTGGGATTTTTTCAATTTTATAACGGCTACTTCAGCTCAACTGACGGCGTTAATTTGTGCTCTCTCTCGGATCATTAAAACGAACAATTAAAGGATATTTATTTTATTTTATTTTATTCCTTTTTTCGAAAATAGAGGTCCATTCCTATTTATTATTGTAAAAACATTTTTGTGTCAAAAAAAAATAAAATTCCTGAAATCACATTTGATCACAACTTTACTGAATTAATGACAGTTTTGTTTTGTGAAAATTTTTAGTTAAATTTTGAATTATCACAACCCTTCTCTCTTATTTGGTCTCATTGGTTGTTACATCAAAGTTCATTTCAAAGCTTGGAAAAATGAGTCATTTATGTAGGTTGGGAGGCGTAAGCCTTGACACGTTAAAGCATAAACTTTTTGAGATTTTTTCTTATTTTTCATTTTATACCTATAAGTAATTATATAAGAAACTATTCATGATATTCAAAAATAAAAGTAGTAAATTGCCAATATTAATCACCCATTACTCTAATAAGCCTAGACTTTAAGAGGCCCTTTTTTAAAAAATAATAATAATAATAATAAAAAATTTAACAAACGATAGTCTAAATTATTTTAAATTAATATAATATACAGTGAAGAGGATTCGAACTTGGGTACAAGGGGCTGCCACTACACCACTGCCACACCAAATTAGATATGCCAGCCTCGCCACCGTTAGCAGCTTAGTGCTTATGATAGTTGCGAGGAGCTTCTAACAGATATTGATCATTGTTAGCAAACCTAAAATACAAGGCCATATCAAGTTGAGGATTTGTTATTGGTCAAAGACCGACCCCAAAACAATATTTCACTCAAATAATAATGAAGTTCCAATTGCTTCTGTGAGCAGCAATCAGACTGCTTTTCACATTTCTACCATTGGAGATACCAAAAGGCTTTAGGAACTGGGGAGAATTGATATTATCTTATTGTATAGGATCCAATCCTCATGAGAAACTAAGAAACCAAAACTGTAGGAGATCACAAGGGGGCAATTATCGTACAAAAAGTAATGTTACAAAAAGAACAATGGTATAGGAATCTTGCGCGCATTGCTGAGTTGGTCGGTCATTTACACTATTCATGACTCGAACGGGGAAACTTATCCCAACTCGCATCTAACTTGTATGGTACTGACAGCAAAACGTAGACATAAAGATCTGAAATAAAAAGCCAAAAACAGCAAACCCCAAATTCATTTGGCTAGCAATCCAGCATAGGAGGAGCTCAATCCTGCTTATTTGAGAAAGTCTTGCACGATGTCTTAGCTCAGCTCTTTTCCACCTAACTATCAGGCAACACAAGGACAAGAGTGTGTTTATCTGTGAAAAAAAATAGAGTTCATGTTAAAACAACCAATTGCAAAGACATGATCAGATAAGCAAAGAAAAAGAAACCGGATAAATAAGCAAATCCATATACTAACCAAAATTATGATTGCAATGATGAGAAGAGGCCCAGACCAGACTGATGAGAGAAAAACTCCATTTGGATCAAAATAATTCTGAGTGGAAAAGCTCTTCCAGTTCTCACCCAGTAAACTATTGAGCCTCTCTGCAAGATATACTCCAGCCACTGCATAAAATAGTTGCCCATATAAGTATCTCTGGATAAGCAGCAAACATCCATAAATTATATTTGCCTTTTTCCTTTTTCCTGTACAATAGATGTACATATTCCTACAACCAAAACGAGTTTATGTAAATTGACATGCTCAGTTCCACCCTTGTTCTGAAAACAAGCTCCAAAGGACATCACTTTCCTCACTAGTAGCACACAAGAACAGACCGTCAACACTTAACAGTGATGTCAATTCTATAAGCCCATAAATTCTACAGACCAAAACAATAAAGATAAACAAGTTAAAAAATTCAATAAACCCATAGAGAAGTACTGATGACTGGTTGGTGACTGATGAGTTGGCAAAGTTAAAAACTCAACTAGTCTACAAATTATTACAAATCTACATTACAAAGCTAGCACAAAGGGAATGAGGAGCATGAAATCTTAATCATACAATTTATACCCAATTTAACTAAAACATCAATCCACTGATAAAGAATGAACAATTGTCCCAAACTCTAAACAGAAGCAGATAGAGTAGTATACTATTCTTTGGAGTGCAAGTCTTGAACTCTGAAATTAGATGTTTCAAAGGCATTTCCTGAAGATTCAGAACTTATAACGAAAAATGATTCCTCCATATTAGAAAGAAATCACACAGCACATGCAATGCAAATATATTATATTAGCAGCTTCAATGAAAGAGCCTAAGGTGATCAATAAGTCGCCCAAAATATTGGGTATTGTGCCCCCATTTCTTAAAATAAGTTGTGTCCAGTACAGGCAAAGGAATTAGGGAACAACTCTTTGGTACCTCATCCTAAGTAGGGTATGAAACTTGGTCAAAGTTCCTATAGCATCTTGCCTAACAACTAGAAAGAGTCAAAGCTTGATTGAATTTGTTCCTCAGTTCTATGATTCCCTCTTCAATCCAGAGATGGTAACAAAAGTCATCCATACAGCCCAATTAAACTAATAGACAGTGAAAAACTTTTATCATTGGAGTCAATCAATCATTTGATTTCAACTACCCAACTTCCAGTAGAATGAGTTAGGCTACCATAACACCCAATTAAACTAATAGACAGGACATAATTCCAAATTGTTTTAATGAAAATTCAAGCAAATAAAAGAGGAGCTCTGCTACCATATCACAGTGAGAGAGAATATTTCCTCAGTATCCCCATTGAAGCATCCGTACTTGGCAACCTGTTTCTAATGTCCAGTGAATGAACTGTGGGAAAAGATAATGGCCTTGTGCAACCATATAATTATCCACCAATTTACTTGCTCTGGATCAGTAGTGTAGTAGCCACTGAAACCTGATGGTCTATGCTAGAATAATAATTACTTCCATAAAACCATCTTGCAGTAAGACATGCTGCTTATATCTTTGAGGGGCCTTCTCAAATTACCATTCCCAACATGCTTCTAAAATAAGCTGTCAAATTACTTCTGGAATCATCAACTATTCTATTCCTGAAAGTCTACGAAAGGAGACCACAAACATAATCATCAAAGGTCAATCCACAGCCCTAAGTTCCATTCACATCCATTAACACCATTTTCTATAGCTTCTTATGATGAAAGATTATTATTAAATCTAAAAATTGTTGTCAGCTGGGAAGAACAATCCTTCAGGGATCGACTGAAGGAGCAATCATACATTATACAGTCCAGAAAATAAAATCAAACATTACATGTTGTACCAAAATATACAAATTATATGTAATATTAAATTTATTACTATATCGGAAGCTACAAAGAGAATCTAGTTGGAAAGCATATGAAAGCAATAATAAACGGAACTTACATGCCAAAAGGAACAAAAACATTTGGAAGTTAAGATTCTTCCTGGAAGTAATAGCCACTATCAGCAACATAAAATGGATGCCGATTAAACCCATCAACCAAGGTTCCTGCACATAACCCATTAATTTAAATTAGATTTTCTTTTGCACTTTGTTTGATTTCTAGAGAACCAAACAGAGCGAGAGAGAGAGGGCGTACCTTCCAGTTGATAGCGTGGAAAAAACCCAAGAAATTGTCCAAAGCGGGTTTAAGACCAGAACGTAACTCTGCGGAGAGTTTCTGGACGAGATCTGCCATTTGCTCCATGTGCTCCTCCATGGCTGACCGAAGCTGCTCCATTGTTTGTTGCTTTAAAATAAAGAACGGCGCCAAATCTCGTTCTCTCACTGTCTCTTGCTCTCTCTTTCTTCTTTTTCTTCAAGAAAAATTATTGAAGGAACCGTCTCAGATCCAAAGCAAAGACTTTGCTCTTACTTTTGAGTCCAAGGTTGCACAGAGAAGATAGAGACGAGACAAAGAGATGGAATACAGTTTCACCTCGTTTGAGTGTTCAATCAACTCGAACCAATAAAATTAAAACGGGCCGGCCCATTTGTATTCCGGTAACTCTAGCTTTTCCTGTCAACCCACAAAACAAAATGCAAATGGGCCGAGAAAGTCTCAGTCCTATTTCTATTTTTGTTTTTTGTTTTTTTTTAAAGGATTTCTATGTGGTGGCAAGTCCCACAATTTGATTCCTGTAGATTGATTCCTATCGCAATTTAAGAATACGTTAAAATTTTCGTCCAATTTGGTAACAAATAAGCATGTGCCCCGTACGTACAAGAATATTTTATTTGCCACAACGAGATGATCCACTTCTTCAACCTATGATTCAAAATTTTCTCCATTTACTTGCCCTCATTCTAAACCCTCTGAAAATGGAATGAAATCTCAGTCCAGTAATTGGCCCACATGCTTATTCTGTCACAAAATTGGACAAAATTTTGGATGTGTAGTTGAATTGTGATTGGTATCAAAGTTCAGGGATCAAATCCTAAGAATTGAAATCACATGAAGTAACGTGGAAAAACCAACCAACTACATGGACCAATGTTGAGGCCAAATTTTAATTAAGGTTGGTCCATGTATATTTTATGCCCAATGCATTATCGTGCTATAAAAGAAGCCTAGCCAAGGTACATGGAGGCCCACTAAATACGGCTACGAGGTGCATGTGCAAGCTTTGATATCCACTCCATACCAAGAGAGACTATAATTTAGCATGTGGAGAGGTCACGGTAATGGTTTAGCCATTTCACATGTCGAAGCTCGCCCACCCTGTTACTTCATCAAGCATTATCTAACATGACCCCAAATCATTGTGTTATGAGCACTGCTATGTAGTCTAAGCATGAGGATGCAATAACACACCAATGAGCAGCAAAGCTAGTCCAGGGTTTTCTAAGGCCTTGGGCAAGTTTCAAAAGTGTGTCCCTTTAGACAAAATTAAACACTAAAATTACAATTTTTATCAAAATTAAACACTGGTAAGATGCATTTGGTAAATTTTCAAGTGAAGCATTGGTCTTTTTAACAAAATATTTATTCAAAGATCCTCTTACACTTGGTTTTTTTTTCTTCTTTTTCTTTTTTGTCTTTTGAGATTTCCATGGCCACAAAGTGCTTCCAACGGTTTCAAACACTTGCCATTGAGGCACTAGGTAGCTCGCCAGCTGAAGGTGGTAGTTTGATTTTTATAATAAACACAACACAGTAACAAATAACAATAAAACTTGGATTTGAAGCATCTTTTCTTTAACTTGAAACTTCAATTGTAAAGAACAAGAATCTTTGCCAAGTTTTTTGTTGAATAAAATAATAAAGAAAAAGAAGTTAATAAAGATGTGTATAATGTATTACTAGCCCCTTGGCACATGCTCATGCATGTGGCAATTGGTTTTATTTTTTATTTTTTTATTTTATTTTTAGAATTAAGAAAAGATAACATGGGTAGTTATGTTCCTTAAAAGTAGGACCTATTAACTGGATTTTTTTTAATTGTAATTTTTTTAATATGAAAAAAGTGAATTTTACCATATTATCCTCATTTAATTAATAATTTCAATTCTTAATATTTGAATTAACCAAGGGCATTTTTTGGTATTTTGAATGTTTCACTATTCTCTACCTTTTGCTTTATATATATAGATAAAATTTATACATCTATATCTATCTATAAAAAAGGAAAAACCTTGAAAGATCTTATAAATAAATAAAAACTTTAAAAGAAAGGCACTAGTCTGGTCTTGTGGAGGATTGTTTTCCAACTCAGTGTTGGAGAAGAAGAGAATCACAAAAAATAAAAATAAAAATTTGTTTGCATTTGAGAGTTTTCTTGTGTTGTGTTTGAGAGCCTTTTTGCTTTTTGCTTTTTGATTAAAAAAGAAAAAAGAAAAAAAAGAAGCGTGTTGGTTTATCTTTGTTTAATTTTCCAATGTTTTGTTTTTCTTTTATTATATTACTATCCTCTTCGCACGCGCTTCCGCGCCTGCAAGAGACTTTTTTTATATAAAATTTAAATTTATTTCAGAATTAAAAAAGATAATGGGTACTTGTGTTCCACAAAAATAGGATCCATTATCTGATTTTTCTTTTAATTTTATTTTATTTTAAAATGAAAAAGTGTGAATTTATCATATTATCCTCATTTAATTAATAATTTCAATTTTTAATGTTTGCATTAATCAATGGTATTTTCTAGCATTTTGAATGTTTCACTATTCTCTGCATTTTGCTTTATATATATATATATATATATTATATAATATATATTTGACTTTGTTTTCCAAGTAAGGAAGTTTTCTTGAGAGTATCAAAAAGTGATTTGTGACATGCCACCACACCATATTAGGAACGACTCCTAGTTTTGAAGGTTTGGTTCCTTTTTATTTTTAATATACAAATCTATGGGCTATAAAAAAAATTGTGTGCCCCTCTTAGGTTTGGGCCCCAGGTTGTAGCCCTGGTCATCCTGGGCCAGGGCTGCCTCTGATGTGCAGTGCATCTACCATGTCCAAGCCGCAACACCTCAAAGAATAGCCTCACAAGATGAGGCACAACCAAAGCCAGCCCAGATATGAGACAATAGATCTGTCATAAGAAGTATAAATCAACATAGGTCCACCAAAAGTTAAAGAACATCGAAGCTCTAACGGGATCCAAGGAAAGCTTTCTCTGTATTTGGTAATAACTTTTAATGTTATATTTAAATAATAAAATATGTGTTTATTGTTGGTTCTGCTCATGTCAAACTCACTTTTTTCTCTCTGAAAAAACATGTGAAATTCACATCTATTTGAAAAGACCGCCATTCGAATTTGATTTGCTTTTGTTCGCTATTAATAAGTAACGATTGTTCAAACTTGCAAAGCATAGTATTGGTGTCAATTACAAGAAAGTTCAACTTTGGTCGTAATTAATGAAATGTTTTTAAGACCTCTTGCTCCTCAAGGAACAATGAGTTTCGAAAGATCAAAGTAATTAATTAGTATATTCTTGACTAGCTAATTGACTTTTTCAATGGTTTGTCGCATGTTTCACACCATATAAATTTTAATATTTCTCATTAATTTCTTTTGGGTATAACAGAAAATATATATATATATATATATATATTTCCTTTTCTTATTTCTAGTTAATAAAAAAAAAAAAAAAAAAAAAAAAAAAAAAAAAAAAAAGGGGGGGCTCAGAATTAGCTGGTGAGCTTTTTCTTTGAAATAGCCGTTTGAATGAGTCCCATGGAGTGTGAGGTTGACATATGGCAAATTCTCCAATGGTATTTTCTTTGAAATAGCCGTTTATCGCCAGGTATTTTCGATCATTTGTTTGTTCCACATATTTTTATTTTATTTTTTCTTTTTGTTTTCAAAATGGACATGATCCGTTAAAGGAGGCTATGCAGATTGTAGCAGTCTCCTGACCATACTCCATGCTGGTTAATTTAAAATTTATTTATTTATTTAACAAAGAAATAAATAAAATATTTTTTTGTAGGTTTTTTTTAGTAGTTAACATAGAAAATATTTACACTCATCAGGATCTGTACGTACTGTTTTGACAGGCATCTTGAATACCTCATGACATCTGTCTCCATCCCCTCCATCTCTCTATAACAAAAGGGAAAATAAGGTTTCCAGAATTAGTAGAAGACAGAAAACAACTACTAAGGGCCCGTTTGGTAATTATTATTTTTTATTTTTTATTTTTTGTGCTAGAGTTTAGAGAAAAATGAGGTTGAGAATGGGAGTAAAGATAAGATTGAGAGAGAGGGATGAGAGGGAGGAGTAATAAAAGTAAAAACAATTTCAAATAAATTTCAGTTTTATTTTTTGTTTTCATTTTTGTTATTCCTCCTTCCCATCCCCTCCTCTCATCTTCCATCTCAATCTTATCTCCACTCTCATTTACTTCCATTCTCACTCGATTTCCTCTATACTCTAGCACAATAATGATAAATGAAAAAACTAAAAACTAAAAATTAAAATTGAAATAGTTATCAAATAGGTCCTAAGAAAATCTAAATGGTACTTTTCAATAAAATGTTAAATGTACATTGAAGAGAAGCCAAGTCCTAAAGTGGACATGAAAACAAGAGATGGTCAATTTCTTGTTATGGGATATAATCTGATGTGTATCAGTAAACAGTATTTGCTTAATTCCAAAGTTATTGTCTGCAAAAGGTTACAAAAATGATGATGAATGTGTTAGAAGAAGATATATAAGAGTATATATATTTATGGTACACAGTTCCATGCAGAAACTGTAAGCAGATACCTGTCTTGCCACCCTAGAGATATTGTTCTTCCATCATCTCTTTCAAAAACCTTGAACCCAGCAGTACTCCCACCACTGCTCTCTCCATCAAACTGAAGGGGACAATAATGTGTCCTGATTTTCAAAAGAAGTCTTGCTTGTATCTTGGACTTGGAGCTTAGATTAATTCCTTCAAAACCATGGCTCTCCATCCTAGCCTTCCATGTTTCCATCTTTTCGATTTTCGAACAATTTACATCGTCGTTGTCGTAATTGAGCATGGATTTGATCTCTTTTCCAAGATGGTTCTTCTCAATGCTCAACCTTTCAGCACTCTCTAGAGGTAGGCAATCATCTAAAGAATCAAACATGGCTGCAAAGTAGTGCAAAGACTCCATGAATCTTGACAAGAAACTTCTAGGGCTTCTGCTTCCTTCTTGTTCAACCAAGATTACAATGGAAGGGTTAAGTAAATGTACAGCTTTTAATGAGTCAGATATCTTCAAACCATTGCTCAAAGTGTTCAAATGAAAAACCAAATTCACTGCAATCGTTTCGTTTCTCTTCTTCCTCAAGTTTATGAGCTTTGAGCCTCTCAACAACCCTTGGAATTCGAAAATAAGATTGCGAAAACCCTTTGAGAAGCTCATCAGTCTGTTCTCCGTCTCGCGTAGTTCATCCAAGCTTTGTCCAAACCCCGTTATTCTGAGTGATATTCGATTGCCACTGGTTGCCTTTTCGGAGAGAGATTGTATAAGAGAAGGCCATTGAAATCCATACGAGACATCGAAATCAATAACATGTAACGCACGATTGTTCTTCTCTTCTTCCTTCTCAAATGCCTCAATGATTGCTTGGTTAGCTGTGAAATGAGCAAACTGGTAGTATGGAGAAACCCGGTAGAGAGATGTAAACGCCACGAACTCTTCTTCGCTTGTTGGTTCCTTCGTGATCATGTCAAAAAAGGGTGATTTTCGGGTGAGAAGCCTTGCAGACAAGCCATCTGCAAAATAAGCAACTACTCGTTGAACGGAGTCGCCGCATAAGGAAACACTCTTGTACAACTCACTCAGATTCTCCAAGGCTGAGCTCACATTGTTTTCATTAACCGCAGTGGCTGTTATGAGCAGCATGTGGATCAAATGGAGGCCTTTTCCATCTTCATCAAGCACATGAGCTCCTTTCTTCTTGTGGTCTAGCTTCAGCATTTGTTCCCTCATTTGAAGCAGCCTGAATATCTTCCCTTCACAACCTTCATATGAATTTAGAGGACTAACCAAAACATTTTTGTGATCTCTTCTCTTCCTCTTCTTCACTCTTTCACCCCCTGAAGTTGTAACAATTGCCAGGCTAAGATTCAAAAGCTCCTCCTCATCTATGTCTTCCATCTCTAGAGAGAGAGAGAGAGAGAGATGAATGAGTGAGTGAATTTAGTACTAGATTGAGAACATATGAGGGAAAAGATGATGGAAGAGCATTTATGGAAGGAGGTGGGGATGGAATATCTCATAGTGAAAATTCCTTTCTGTCATCACATGGGAATGGAACAAAAAACAAGAGAGATATTGGAGAATAAAACCTTTTAATTTTTAATTTGAACTATGAGATGGAGAGACAAGATGGGTATCTTTTTATTCTTGAGAATCAGCGTCTTTGATCAAGAAAACATATTGATCCTTTTGATCAAGATATTAAGCATGTTTTTGGAAATTTATGAAAAGTGTTTGATTTTTAGTCCTTAATTTAATCCCATCCTTTGGTATTTCGGAAGGCTAAGAAGATGCCGTACGCATTCGACAAAAAACAGCGGGGAAAAATTAGGGTATCAAACCTACCGTCCTTGAAGACTTGTCGCCATTGGCAATATTGGTTCTAGATACATGCCCTAACAAATGCTAGTTTCTAGTTTTTCCCCCACCAAATCAACCATGATGCAATATTCCCTTTTACTTCCTTTTTTTTTCTTCTTCCTGAAAATGACTGGCATTTTGATGCTACAAAGAAAAAGGGTAGCTCCCATTTTTTCAAATAGATTTTGATCATAGTTGACTCCAATGGAATTAAACACATCAGGGTGTTAAAAAAAGTCTACATGTGTCTCTATAATGTTGTTGAAAAAGGTATTTGTCAATCGTTAATGTCAATTATAGTTAGGCTTCATTTGGTTCATGGGAAATTATTTGCTTTCCTATGTTTGGCAAGTCTACTCTTGGGAAATTATTTACTAGGGGAAAATGAAACCCTCCATTCACCTTGAGTTTCATTTTCCCTCCTCATGTGTAAATCTATCGTTCTTTAATTGGCCTCTGGTGCGTTGGCCATGCAGTTGATGTGGTGGATCTCCATTAGACCTTTGTGTTGAGTTGTGGAGCTATTTGATTTTGTTTTTTCACTTGTAGGTATTTCACATCCAAATATTCCAAACCAGTAGAAAGTTCTGATCTCTCACGTGATGTTCCTACATCACTAGATGCAGTGGTTCTATAGATCCTCTTATGTCCTTTAGTTCCTAGTGAGGTGGGTCTTCAAGATATGGAACTGTTTTGCTTATTGTCTTGCAAATGGTTGTGTTTATTGTTTGTATCTTATTTTGCTGTTTCCAAGAACCCTTCATCGGGCTATGTTCTTCATCTTTCTATATTTCCCCTCCCTATTAATGAAATTGCATTGGCTATCAAAATACGAAAATAAAAAATTCGGCTAGCGTATAGTATTTAATGTATAGTTTCTTTATTCCATAATTTGTGAAAATGTGTGTCTAATACATGAAGTTTACAGGTATAATTCAAAATTTTTTATTGAAATGCATTAGTAATTATTGATGAAACATATCATAGTACAAAGCCACAAAGAGCTAAAATGGGTACAACATCTTCAGTGATCAAACACAACAACATGTTGATTTGATCCGGAGAAAATTACGCCTAAACCAACAAATACTCAACCCCTTGATTCAGCATCTCGAAGGACTCGTACTCAGACTAAAAATATATCTCTACTGCGCAATGGTAGGAATGGCAGATCTGTATTGCAGTCGAAAACTAAAATGCAAAACACATCAAACTCCTAAAGAATTCCGGAGAATTCAAATAAAAAGTATAGCAAATTTATAATGAGTTAAACAAAAAACAAGAACACTACTCCACATCCTCTTCGGCAACCGAAGAAATCCATAACGCCATACCAGCTAAACCCTTAGTGCCGCATCGGCTAAACCCCAATCCACACAAACCAATAACTTTCATTATTGTAACTCCAAACACTGAGCTAGAGTCAAAACCTTGTATATGCGGGCCAAAAGCGTTTACTAAATCATAACGACAATGATGTTTCGCAGTGTCTGCTTCCACATCATATACGAACCAGCATAGCAATCGTTACTACCTATATTGACGTCGATGCCATTGCCTCCGCCATGATAGTTAGCACCACTTGCAACTCTTATGTATGTACGTGTATAATACATGAATTGTATGCTTAATATTAAAGACATATTTTATATATCTGTGAAAAGTATATAATTTTTTTTTAAATACTTAAACTCACTAGTTTTTTAGCGTACGTAAATTCACTATTAAAATAAACGTAAGTTTAATTTACTTATTGTCACTTTCTACTTGATCACCCTCTTTCATTTTACGGGCCCACTTAATAAGTTCATCACATTACATTGCATGCGTGTAATGCTTCAAATATTATAATTAGTCTAAAAAAATATGTGTTTGTTGGCTCTGTTAATGTCAAACTCACTTTTTCCTCTCTCAAAATACTTGTCAAATTAACTTTTATGTGAGAAGACCGCTATTCATATTTGATACTATTAACAACAAAGATTGTTCAAATTTGCAAAGCACCTAGTATATATGGTGTAAATTACAAGAAAGTCATAATTAATTATATGTTTTGAAGACCTTTTGCTCATCAAGGAACAATGAGTTTCAAATCAACATTTTGAAATGTAGATATTGGTCGATGTAATTAATTGGCATATTCTTGACTAGCAAATTGACTTTTTCAATGGTTTGTTGCATTTTTCACACCATATAAAGTTTAAAACTTCTCATTTGTTTGTTTATTCCAAGATACAAACTATTTATAATTTAGAATAACAATGCCGATTTAATTTCTTTTCTTTTTTTGGGGGGGTAGAACAGAAAATATATAGCTAGCAATGCATGCATATAAAAAAAAATTATATATTTATTTATTAAAAAAAAAGGTTGGTGGGGAGCCCTCAAAGCTCAATGGAATTAGCTGGTGAGCATTTTTCTTTGAAATAGCCGTTTGAATGAGTCCAAAGGGACCTTCAAATCCTCAAGAATGACATAAAACATGGGAGCATCAAAGCTCTCTTGGTTGTCTTGGTTATGGAGGACATGTACGGTAGTTAATAAAATGGAATTTATATTTGGTTTATAGGGCAATGCCAAAAAAAATATAATTTATTTACAAGCAAGCAGATTCTCTGTCCCATGGAGTGCGAGGTTGACATATGGCAAATTCTCCGATGCTCTGTCAAAATACAATCCCCAAGTATTTTGCGTTCATTTGTTTGTTTGTTCCACATATTTTTAAATTCTTTTTCTTTTTGTTTTTAAAATCGACATGATCCGTTGAAGGAGGCTAAGCAGTCTCATGAAAATCTGGAATTTTTTAGGAAGCCTGCATCATCAGATGGCAGCAGTCCCCTGACCACTCTACATGATCGGTATTTTAAAACTACAAAGGGATATGAGTTTCTCACACACACAATAGTATACCACAGTGCCATAGGGATTCGAAACTGAGAGCACTGGCCTGCAAGTCAAGGTCATTTTCCACTATCCCCTTGGAAGTAAATTTTGTAGTTAACAACATAGAGACCATATTTGCTCATTACCAACTGTAAGCAGTGTTTCTACAAACATCTTGCATACCTCACGACATCTGTCTCCATCTACTCCATCTCTCTATATAATATAAGGAAAAAAAAGTTTTAAATAAAAAACCAGGAGTAGAAAAAAAGCAATTAAGAAAATCCAACTTGTACTTTTTTTGTGTTAGGTTAAAACCAAATGGCACTTTTCAATAAAAGAAAACTACAATTGTTTGAAATGCACATTGCATGCAATTCACAGGTTTAAGAATCTGCACTGTTGTAAGACAAGGTATATGATGCAAATCAGAATAGAAATGTGTAACCCCAAATGGTGCCACAATTAGATGAGATAATCAACAAAACGTACATCATCTCCTCCATTAAAGAAATGAGTCCCAATTCAACAAACTATGAAGAAACTATCTCCATTTATCATTTAACTCAACGATCACTTATCCTATGTGAAAAGGTGAAAAATAAACAAAATAACACAACTCATTTCATTCCAATACCACAGTAGCACCCAATTCCTTAAGCTTGTCAACAATGGGCCCCGCCTCCTCTTTGGTCACGCCTTTCTTCACCACAACAGGGGCCTTCTCCACCAATTCTTTAGCCTCCTTCAGTCCCAGGTCAGTGAAAGTCCTAACCTCCTTTATGATTTTGATCTTTGCCGCTGCGTCAAACTTCTCAATCTTTATATCAAATGCAGTCTTCTCAACGACCTTGGAGTCTGCGGAGGCAGGCCCAGATTCCGAAGATGCCGAGCCAATCCCCGAGACTGCTGGGCCGTACCGATTGAGGCCCATTTTCAGCCTGAAGAGGATGGAGTAGTCGTGCCTCTCGATCTTTGTAAGGTCGAGGAGCTCGTCTGCAACGCGCTCGAGCTTCTGGGTCGGAGTCTCATTTGCTGAAGTTGCAGTGCTAAGGGCACGAGAAAGAGTGAAGGTGGCAAATCTTGATAGGGACCTGCAGGCAACTTTTGTGGTTATGTTGGACATTTTGTGAATCTTTGGCATTACAAAGGTTTTGGAAAGTCTAAGATTCACAACCTAGCTGTAACCATAAGTTGGAAATTATACTCTAGAAATCAAGTAGTTTGGTTTTGGTATTGCCTCTAAGAAGAGGGGCTCAAGTATTGTCAATGTGCAGTAGAATACATAAATATCACTTCTAAGGGATCATTTACATTGTTCAGCAGAAAAATTCTGGTTCAGAAGATCATGTTATCTATCATTATTTACCATAATAGAAGACATCCAGAACACAATGACTTGTAACAGATCATTTACATTGTTCAGCAGGAATTCCTGCTGCTCAAGATTTTGCTAAGCAAACAATATTAAAACCTTGTCCTGAATAGAAGATATCCCGAACACAGAAATCCTAGGAATCAAAACAAATCCAAAGTCTACAACCAAATTTCAATCCCTAATAGCCTAAATACTCCTTTCTATAATAACTATACAAATAAAAAACAAAAACAAAGAAGAATAAAGGAACATACTTTCCATGTGGACGTAAAGTTTGATTTTGCACCGCCCAACTTACCCTGGTCCTTGTTGAGTTGCAGTTCTGACAGGTAAGCCTATTACAAGCTGCCATGGATGCCAATAAAATAATTAGAAGGAAAAACAAAAGAGTAACAGATAAAGCAAAGCTATCACTTTTAAGAAAGTAGAAAATGGCTTGGTAACTACGCAAAACTTGTGGGTTCATGGAAAAAAGAACAAATTCAGGCCTAAAGATTGTTATTTTCACACAAATATAAAGAATTGTGCAAATGACCCAAGTGGATTGCCATACCAAAAACAGTTGCCATAACATACAGAAGATTAATTTATTGAAATAGGACCATGCACCCCATAGAAGACCAAGTAAAAATTATGAGTTGATAGAATTCAATTGCAGAACCATAATGATGATGATTGTACCTTACTTTGAAGTTGTTCTTCTGAAATGCCAGGGACCCTCCTGACCTCGGAAAATGTGTCCGTCAGGAAAGGTTTGGACCCTGGGACAATACTTGCTCGAGAAAACCGAGCAGGGCTGGAGAAGCGTTTTACAGAGCACGCCATCAGTGGAGAAACAAACTTGCACCCTGTTGAATGCAAAATCATCACTAAAGGCAATAATGCAAATCATTGTATGACTGTCCTGTTTCATAACTAATTGTAGTAAAACTACTGCTTACCTTTTCATTTAGTTTTGGGTATTACCAACATTCCATAACTTTAATCTTTCAGCAATTTTTTTTCACAGCATAAACTCAAGAGTCAAAACAAATAAGAACTAAAAATCCTAGGTTCAATTGATCGATAATTGCTACGGGTAGACACACGATGATGGATATAAGTAAGAAAAATATATGCCCTCTTGAAAGGTAAATGGTGCTTGACCAACTGACCATGCACAATGATTGTCCACTTAACTACCAACTAATTAACCCAATCTGTAAACTTCTTTCAAGTGCTTAAAAGTCCAACCATTTTAGTAGAATATTCAAGTCACATTTAGAACTCCACTTAAATGTTAAATAGCAAATCCTTTGGGCAGTTTTTCAAAAAGACACTACACCACATATCCTCATCTATAGACTAAAAGTCTGAAATTATATTCATCAACAAAACTGAATACAAGAGTCTCTAATAGCCTATTTATACTAGAGTGCAGAAAACCTAATTGAAATAGGAAATTAAAAACCAAAACAGGAAAACAAAAGAAGTAACTAATAATTTAAAGGAACTAGAACCCTAGCCCAATTGACTAAAGGGCCCAAGTACTCTTGAGGAGACCTGTAGATGCTCCTGCATCACTTTTCCCCAGCAACCAAAGGAAAGCAAAAACAAGCCCTGCAATCCAAAAAAACCTACTACCTACACATCTGTGCAACCCCATAACATTAAATTTCACACAATGTTTATAACTGAAACATCACCTTGCAAGCTAAAATGGCAGAGAAAAGCAAATTTCAACCGATAGCCAAACAGCAAACATCTCTGGAAGAAATTAACATACATGTACAAGTCGAAACACAAACAACCAACATTAGAAGCCCCAAATTCAGGAAACACAAACAATTGCTAAAAGTGCAACCCTGTGAGTTAAGATGAAAATGTTTCCATAGCACGATATCATATTTAGTGATATATAAGAACCTGCATGTAGAAAAATAAAAGACAAAAACAATAAAGCTCAGCAACAGCAAAGCAGCAAAGCAACTATAAGGTCAAATTATGTTTCCCTTAAAAACTCAGCAGCAACAAAGCAGAAAATTATTAAGCATACGCCATTATTTATTTATTTTTTTGGCACAAACCCAAATTTCGCTTAACTATCAGCTGAGCACTTCACCTTTCCTCATGTAAAATTGTTTTTTTAATCTTTGATCAAATATATTACCCTTAATTAGATATATAATGCAGCTGTCATCACATTTAAATACAATCAGCTTGAATCACAAACCCAGACTTACAACCAGCATTAAGCACAATAAAACAGACATCCTAACATAGAGGCTTGGTAGCCACTACCACAAATCCAATCGTTTAAAAGAAATAAGAAAGTCTTTATCATTTTTCTCAAAGCTCATAATTTTTGAAGAATAGCACGCAAGAACCATGGGTTGAAATCATTCACAAACAATAGGGAGGGGTGCCTTTACAAGAAAGAGATGAGTTTCTTCAAATGTTATGCTTAGAGACAACTATGGTTGGTGCGCACTTAATTTTTCCTTGTGACTGTGTGATATGGTAAGTGGCATTCAAGGAAAAAACAGTATAATCCATTAGGTAATGAATTTATACAAATTTATAAATAAACCCAATCCTAGACATGTATTTATAAAAAAACCCAAGCACTATTTAAACATAGAAACACACCCAAAATCAACAATTGTATATTTTTTGGGTGTGTTTATAAATGGGTTTTGAGTGTGTGTAATGATGGGTTTTGGGTGTGTTTATAAAGTGTTTTGGGTGTTGGGTTTTTTTATAATTTCAGCCCCCATTTTGGTGTTTTAGTGAAACTCCCTGAATTTATGCATCTCTATGAAATGAGCCAAAAGTCAATTAAAACTTCACCGGCAACACTGAATACCCAACAGCCTCTGCCTCTGGAGTTTAAATCAGCCTTGCTACACCAGAGTGGAAAATTTTCAAAGTTACTACTAAATAAAATAAGAAAAGCTTAGAGTGGTATCAAAATCTTGACCCAATATCCATGACGAACCAAAAATTAGGCGTTAGAATTAGCCTTCCAATTCCAGATCTCCAAACCCCCCTAACTTGAATATTATTCTCATTTTCTAAGTTGTAAACACGAATAAGAGCAAAGCTTTTTACCTTGTCCTCTTTTCCAGCAAAACCCAGAAAAAATTCACATAACTTGCCCCAATTTCTATATAAGTAAAAAATATTTACAAAAAAGATATACTACTTACAATTCAATACACAACAAATTTAACCCTATATCAAATTAGGGACATAACAATTGTTTTGTTATACTGAATAAATCCTAATCCTATGAAAATGAGAATTACTACCTGTCACATAGCTTGAGATGCTGGGAGAGAGAGCACAATAGCGAGCCAGTGAGAAAGATAGTGCGAGCCAAATAAACAGATAACGAGTTAGTGAGAGAGAAAGACAGCCACCATGAGAGAGAAAAAGAGTCAGAGCTAGACAGAACCAGAGAAAATTCGAGCGAGAAAGAGAGAGAAAGAGTGAGCCAGTGAGAGCGATAGAGAAAGAGAGTCTTTTTAGCCCAGTTTACTCCTTGCTGCAGGAAATGTATTTTTGTCAAATCAACCCAAACACAAAGCCATTCAATTTTGCAAGAGCAAAATATGACTAATCAGTGCAAACCCAAGTCAGAAATCACACAGACGGCTCAAAATTTTAATATTTATACAAATTATTATCTGAAAACAACTTTAATCAATTCCAGAATTTCAACAAGTGCTTTACCTGTTCGACAAACCAAATGATATGGCAAAGACGAAGCTCTTTGCTTCTTGCTTCACACTTCCCAGGTCGCTCGCATAAAGAACGAAGGCCAGCAAAGGAAAGAACGATGACGCAAAGCACGCTCGATATTTTGGGCTGAAAGCCCCTCCATTAAACTTGTCTAAAATAAGCCCAGTAGCGTTTCATTAATACCCATATAGAACTGATTTGAAGAGAATAATCCAAAATTAGACACTTGTCATTTTCTAATTGGTTGTTAGAAAATTTTAACACACTAAGAACTAATTGGGAGATGACAAGTTGCTAGTTTTGAGTTTTTCTTTTCAAATAGATTCTATATGGGTATTTGCATAATATGTCATAAATGGACATTTTACTAAACCTATATTTTGTAGAGAATGCTCTGTGTTTAAATTTTTTAGGTTTTTTTTTTTTTTTTTTTTTTTTTTTTTTTTTTTTTTTTTTTTCTATCTTTTGTAACCCCTACTTTTGTTGTGAAAACTTTGCTGTGAAAAAACGAAAAAAAACGTATGTTGCTATTTAATAACAGACTGTGTTGTAGTGAGAAAAATGTAACAGTTTTTAAAAAAAAAAATAGTAATGTGAGAACTTTTAGAAACTAACATCACTAAATAAATTTCAGGCATAAACCTGGTTCAAGTTATCGACACTTATTCTAGATGAGGTGAATTCTTTAGTGTGGATTAGGTTGATTGGTTGAGCAGAGGCACTTGTGTTTATATTGTAACATCCCACATCGACCAACGGAAAGGGGGTGATGTGTCTTATATGTACATGCCCACCTTCATCTAGCACGAGACCTTTTGGGAGCTCATTGGCTTCGGAGTCATGGGAACTCCGAAGTTAAGTGAGTTTGGGCTAGAGCAATCCCAGGATGGGTGACCCACTGGGAAGTTGCTCGTGAGCTCCCAAAAACAAAACTGTGAGGACAGAGACGCTGGCCCAAAGTGGACAATATCGTGCTAGGGCGAAGCTGATCCTGGGATGTGACAATTTAGTATCAGAGCCACTTTGCCGTGTGGTGCGAGTGTGCCGACGAGGACGTCGGGCCCCTAAGGGGGGTGGATCGTAACATTCCACATCGACCAACGAAGAGAGGGTGATGTGCCTTATATGTACATGCCCACCTCTATCTAGCACGAGGCCTTTTGGGAGCTCACTGACTTCGGAGTCATGGGAACTCCGAAGTTAAGCGAGTTGGGGCTATAGCAATCTCAGAATGGGTGACCCACTGGGAAGTTGCTCGTGAACTCTCAGAAACAAAACCGTGAGAGCAGAGAGGAGGGCCCAAAGCGGACAATATCGTGCTACAACGGAGCCGATCCTGGGATGTGACATATATGCATTTCGCTAGGAGCCTTAACCATGAAGAAACTCTCTAGCAATCCTTATTGCATTTAGGAAAATAAAACCCTAGTCCATATTAATTAGAAATCCCTTTAGTCCATGTATTTAACTTAAACACGTATTCAAAAACAACGGGTCAAGTAGTAATTGAGTCATTGATCAATATTGAGCCCAAGACAACCCTATGATGATTAGAAGACCACTTAAGTAGGTAGATTAGAATAATCCAACGTCTTGCAAAACAAATCTTACAAGATGTATGGTTGTTTAGGTCTGGTTGAAATTTGACCGGGTGATTAGTGCATAATTACATATCATTTTGTACACTTCTAGCTTATGATTTGGTTATGTTTTTAGGTTAAACTTGTGCTTTTGATCCTCTTTTATCTTTGTTTCAGTGTATTAAGCTTTGGGACTCATTTAATGCATTTTGGAGTAGAGTTAGCTCAAAATTGTGTCCGCAGATCAGTCAACTTCACATATTCAACTGTACGTGCTCAGGAAAAACCAGCTAATGAGCCATACATCATTGGAAAGATGTGGAAGTCTAGTTTTTGAAGTAATCTGTCAAGTTTCATGGAGTGTTAGAAAATTGGGTAAATTTCACTTTACTACCCGCAAGTTTACCAAAATTTAGACTTTAATACTTAATTTTTTTTTTTTTTTTTTTTTTTTTTTTTTTTTTTTTTTTTGTCAACTTCCAAAATTTGATTTTCCTACCACTTTCATACATCAGTTAGTTAGATCGTCAAATCTTTCATTAAATAATAATGTGGCAATTAATGGATCCATGTATATTCACCATATTATGCCACATGGATTAAAAAATTATTAAAAAATTAATTAATGAAAAATAAAAAATTAAATCATGAATATGTATTTAATTAGAGTACCTCCACCCCAAAGGGCAAGGACAAGGTAAAGGTAAGGCAAGGTTTGTCACTATTCACGTGAATAGTGGCAGCCTTGCCTTTTTTGGTTTCACCCCAAAAGGTAAGGGCACGGGTAATTACTATTCACTTTAATTTATTTTCTATTTTTTATACTTAAACCATTAATTTTGATAAGCTTTTTGGATAAGATTTTCGGTTGCCATGTGTCAATATTTATTATAAAATTCTCATCCAAAAATTTAGATAACATTTTTGAAAAAAAATTTCAAATTAAATTTTTGGATAAGATTTTTGGTTGCCACATGTCCATATTTATTGTAAAATTCACATCTCACTCATCATACAATTGAAATACTCCCGGTGCTCATAGACCGACACAATCAAGTACAAAGACAACTCAATCATTGGTGGAGGCAGTTCCACCGAATCATGACGTGGGGGGAGTATTTTCCTTCGGAGGACGTAATAGTGTCACTATTTCCGACATGGAACGCACCACTGGAACCGATTACGGCCATTATTCACTTGAGGAGTCATGTGTAATGGTTTTCCTCTTTTTTGTTTTGCCGTGAATAATCTATTAAAAAAATGAAATTGGAAGTGCAAGATATATATATATATATATATATATAATGACATTAAATTGAATAAAACGGCAATGTTTTTTTTTTTGCCTTGTCGCCAAGATTTTGACCTTTTCGAACGTTTGTCCACGACCCTCCGACTTTGATGGAAGAGGCCATTTCTATTTTTACACAAATGGAATTTTGTAGTAGAAAATTTGGTGTGGAAAGTGAAAAATATTGGAAGGAGATGAATTTGTATGAAGATTTGGTGTGAAAAGTGAATAATATTGGTATGTATTTATAGAAAAAAATTTCAGAATTTTTTGATAAATTTTTAGCCAAAAATGGGACAGTCGTTGGATTGGGCAAGATTTTTTTATTGGAGGCTCCAAGAGATGCCACGTGACTTGTAGCCGTTGGGCTATGTGGGCTGGTGGGTCAACGCTGAAGGTGGAACTTGGGACTAGGGTGGTCTGTTTCCAGGGCAAGGCCCTAGCGCTGCACTTGCTCTTAAGGGTGGTGATTTTCCCACTTTCTTTTTGTCCACTTACACTTTCTTTTGTTTTTAATAGTTTTTACTATAACAAAAAAGGGAGTATAAGTGGACCAAATATGAGTGGGAACATACAATTTCTAACAAAGAAAGTGTAAGTGAATAAAACATGAGTGAGAAAATCAACTCTCTTAATTAATTAAAAGAATAAAAGTTTATCTCTCCTTCATCCCGTCACCACCCTCCTTCTCTGTCTTCTCCCATTTTATCATGATTCATGCCATGCCTGTTGCCCCTCTCTCAACCCCATCACCATACCTTTCTCTCTTCAATAGCAACACCTCACGACCAAATACCCAAGACGCACCAAGCCCCCCACCTCGACATCCCCAGTCAAACCAAACTTAATACCGCCGCCTCGCCACCATTAATAATGATAGAGAACTCAGAGAATTTACAGAGAAAGCAAAGAGGAAATAGAAGAAAGAAAGAAAACCACCATGGCTAGCCGACAACATCTTAAAATCGCAGGTCTTCTTGTGGGGTGGAGTTTGGGTCAAAGCTTAATTGGATTGGATGGGGTTGGTACAAAAGTAAGCAGAGCCATATAAAAGCAGATCACCAAGAAACTAAAGCAGAGATATAAGAGCATGTCCACCCCAAAAGGCTAAGGCAAAGACAAAGGCAAGTAAAGGCTGCTACTATTCACGTAAATAGTGGCAGCCTTGCTTTTTTTGGTTCCACCCCAAAAGGCTAGGGCTAGGGCAAGGTCAAGAAGAAAAAGAAGAATATGCAACAAAATATAAACTTGTTATGTATTTATAGGAAAAGTGAATAAAATTGTTATGTATTTATAGGGAAAACCTCCATAATTTTTTGATTTTTTTTTTTCCATTGTTTTTCAATTTTTTTGAATTTTTTTTTTTGCTTGCTGACGTCAACGCCCTCAGGCTGAAGCCCAGGCAAGATCTACCCTTGGGCTGGTGGGACCCAGGCCTTGCCTGGGCTGGATTTGCTGCGCTAAAGAGTGGATTGGGCTCGAGGGGGGCCTTTTGCCCTGGTAGCGCCCCTGCGCTGGAGATGCTCTAATAGAATTGAAGAAGAAGCTCTTTGCTACATTTAAAAAAAAAAAAAAAAAAAAAAAAAAAAAAAAAAAAATTAGAATTTTGAGACTTTGAGTGGTTTGTTTGTTTAGTGGAGATGGGTCCGATCCGAAACGGGGGTAAATAACTAATAAGCAAATGAAAACGGTAGGAAAGTTAAAATTTGGGTACAAAGTTGACAAAAAAAAACTTTAGGTATTAAAGTCTAAATTTCGATAAACTTGCGAATAATAAAGTGAAATTTACCCGAGAAAATTTATACATAACAAAACTTATCAACACATACTGTTTTTTTTTTTCTTCTTAAATCATATAAACTTGTCACGTATGCAGTGTCGCAATTCATTTGGAATAAAATAAAGGGCATCTTCTCAAATCATATAAACTTG